CCAGGGCTCTCAATCATGCGGCCATGTCATGCTCGAAAGCAGTGGTCGGCAACTTTTTGAGACGGATGGCAGGCAAGAAGAAAAAAAAAGGCGAATCGATGCAAGAAAGTGGTGTAGGATTCTCGCTTATTTACAGCATGCGTTCATGCCCAAAGGTTGCATGATACCGCATAGTATACTTAGTGCCAAGTGCGCTATCAACTCCTACCGTAAAGCGTGAGCAGTGGTTAGGGTGCTCGGCTGCTGACTGCAAGGTTCGATCGCGGCCGCGGCACTTCGATGGGGGCGAAACGGTAGAGCCCCTTGTGCGGTGCGATCGCACGCGGTGCACGTTAAAAAAAATCAGATAGTCGAAATTTCCTGAGCGTTCCTTCTCTCATAATCAATCGTATCGCGGTTTCGGGACGCAAAAAACGCGAGATATCATTCACCACAATTTCTTTCCCAAATAAACTGAGCCAGTCACATACACCATTGATGAATGCGTATATAGGCGCCTCCGCTCACTCACCTCTGGTTGGCAGGGAGCCCAAGGCTGGCATGCACTCCGTTGTGTTGGCACATTCAAATTAAGCGTGCAAGATGAGCAACGAAAACGTTGGAGAAAGGTCCCTATAAGCTTTCCTGCAACTTTTTTTTTTTTATAGTGGTCAGGCTTTTCCCGCAAAATGCATAAGTAATGGTCGTTGCTTTGTCGTAAAAATCTTCAGCCAGAATTACAAGACCGTTGAGGTACACAAAATACGTTTTTTATATTGTCATTTTTAGGTATAAATCTTCTGGTCCAGTCAAGAAGCACCTACTTGGTTTAAGGAGAAAACTATAAAACTGTGCACCGATGTGCAGGACTTCAGCAATGTTCGTGGCAGCAATTATTATATAAATATTATATAAAGGTGCAGATGCAGTATAACAATAAGGAAATTCTGAATAGCCCTTTGTTCAGAAATTTAACATATTTGTTCACACAGTTCAATGTTCTTATACTTATTATTTCCCGCTCGTAGCTGCATTATAACCGCATATATTGGAATTTGATGAAAAGAAGGGTAGCGGAAGGGGTAATCAAAATCTAAACATGGATGAAAGAAGACAATTTCGCGCACTCGTTCTTTTGTTCGAAGAACAGCAGGCAATGAAGCCCGGAAAAGGACATTTATTGTGCTCTTTCAATTGTATTTCAGTAATTGTGGTATGAATGTGAAGAAAGTATATAAAAGAAGACTTGCCACCGACAGCTGAAGGTTGCAGGTGTGGTCCCTGCCGGCAGCAAGTCTTCTTTTGGTCTACATTACTTGATCTCTATATTGCCATTGCTGCAATGCACTTACAACAGTACTATACGTGCCTTGGCATCATTGTCTGCCGGTTTAATTTAAGGTCTAAGCAGTAATTTGTCCCTTCAGGTTAGTGAAAAATGTAGCGAGCAGGCTATCACGTTACTAAGAAATTGACGAAACTGTGAGCGTGTACATGCTCTGAGTGTGTGACCAAGCATAATGTTTTCAGATTATCACTACGTGACCACTACTACTACTACTACTATGACCCCCCCCCCCCCCCTTCGCGGTGGTCTAGTGGCTAAGGTACTCGACTTCTGAGCCAAACGTTGAGAGATTGAATCCCGCGGCTAAGGCGACTGCATTTTTGGTGGAGGCGAAAATGCTGTAGGCCCGTGTGCTCAGATTTGCGTACACGTTAAAGAACCCCAGGTGGTCCAAATTTCCGGAGCCCTCCACTACGGCGTCTCTCATAATCATATGGTGGTTTTGGGACGTTAAACCCCACGTATATCAATACCAATCAACTACTATACTATGACGATGACGCCGGCGGCACAGGGTAGACAACGACAGCTTCGCTGTAAAAGAACGCTACAAGTATATAACGCCTGCTGTAAAACGTTACCGCAACCATGCAGGGCTGTTTCCTAGGAATATTTTTTCGGGTGGTGTTTTTGTGTAGAACGGCTAACTTTGGCAACTGGTGGTCGATGTAAAGACATGTAAATGCTTTAGTATCACCCGAAAAGTTAAAGAAATGAAACAATTTTGGGGGATGTCATAACCCCCCTCAACCCCCCTCTAGTTACGGCCCTGATTGCAACACTGGGTGCGCGTGACCCGTCTTCGTGCACACACATCCCGCGTGGAACCTGTGTATGCACACACACATCCCAGTCTGACCAACGGGACAGACAGCGATGAGAGGGCTGCAGCGCGTTGAGAGGACTGGTCCCCCCTTGGCCAGGCATCCATGTGGTGGCAGAGGGCTCGGCAGAAACGAATCGTGCAGCGCGCGCCGCTGCACGCGCTGTCTGCCATCTGCGGCCGCTGTGATTCCGTTTCTCCAGAGCCCTGCCACAGGGTGCCGCGTTTTATCGCCTGCTGGCCCCGGTGGAGACAGGAGGAAGCGACCAGCTCGACACTGTGCGGTCTCTTGCTGCTTTGATCGAGCGGCACCAGACACGCCAGCTACTCGAGTATCCAGAAAGGAGGATATACGTAAATGGAAAAGGCCGTTAAGAGTAGCTTGTTAGATTTCGCGCGCGTGGAGCGACCATGTGTTTTGCTGGGGTCTTCTCACACAGTTTATGGCAGCTTCGCCGCCTATTTTATGGTCACCCACTAGAACAGTTTCAAAACAGTCTCGTGTTCTTTTCAACTTGCATGGTGGCGGTCGCGCGGTCAATGACCTACGCTCGAATATTGAAACGGTCTGAGGGCGAGATTTGTTTCCCGCAAAGCCCCGCCTTTAATAGAGCATGTATGCTTTCTTTTTACATTTGTTAGTGTCAAACGTATATCTGCGCAATCGACATCCATGGACCAAAAAGCCCAAGCTCTCTGCAAGTGAAAATAACTTCGGTTACAGTAATTGTAACCGAAGCCCTTTTGAAAAGAATTGGATCACATATGCTCATTAGTGAAGTGGCAGGTCACACAAATTCACCTTGACTAATCACGGGTAAAGGCCTCCACACGTACGTGCTGCAGGGGGTCAGCACTTGACTTTTTTGACGCAGCGCCACGCCGTTTCACTGTAACGAGAAAGAGTGCGTTGCTACCAAGGAGGCGTTAGGCGGTAATCACGCGGTATTTTTTTAATTTTTACGCACTTCAAACAAAGGCTGGTAAAAAATAAAGCAGCGCAGTTCTCACTGAAGATCAAAATTTTTAGTATTTCTGGATGAGCGCTATATAAGTTTTGCATTGAATAGTGGAAGACTCCGAAAATTTCGACCACCTGGGCTTCTTTAACGTTCACCTAAATCTGAGAACACGGGCCTACAGCATTTTCGCCTCCACCGAAAATGCAGCCGCCGCAGCCGGCATTCGATCCCGTGATTTTCAGATTAGCAGCCGAGTACCTTAACCACTAGACCACCGCGGCGGGTTAACCACGCAATATTCAACAATATGGGGTCGAATGCTGTGTATACCAGACTGTCGCCCAGCTTACACGAGAAGCATATAATGCATATAATGAAATGCCTACCGCCGAGAAGCTCCTCAACGACATAAACAGCGACCATTACTTGGACATGCCACATGCCGGTCGTCAGCACTCGCACGGTGTAAAGAATTCTGAACAATTTGTGGTCCAAAGAGAATCAAGCTATTGTACTGTGCCGCGACCGGCTATATATTTCAGTTGTATTGGGGTTTAAGGCATTCTGGACACCTTCAAACTTCGACATGATTAAATTTCGCAATGGTGGTATTTTAAGCCAATCAGGTCATAGTAACCATCTGGATCAATCAGTGATGATGAATCACAAGAATATGTCATCACGGAGTTTATAGTGCTAGTAGAACAACTTTCATACAACCTTGTAAACGTAACCCAAGCCTCAGTGTTATGACAGTAAAATGCTGTGAAAACCTTCTGAGAAGGTGCAAAATACTCAGAATGTCAGTCTATATACAGTAATTAGGTCTGAATTAGATGCGTATCTATTTATGCACATGACTGAAATGTCAATTTTCCGTTCACATGTTGTAAATACATTAGCGCCGCGGGTAAGAAAAAGACAAACTGCAACAAAAAGCTGCCAGACTAATGAATGGAATAATTGCGTGGTAACTTATATGCAGATGTCCACCTCCGTAGCCTTCGCTCTACTTCCTACAGCTTACGTTAATTTTGAATGAATTTTAAATTGTACACTGGTGAAAACACTTGACAATTTCTTCTGCAAGGATTTCAAAACGATAAAGAGAATTTTCTAACAAAATCTGAAATTTCATTGCCACTGATGACAGCGTCGCTGTGCAACTTACGAGTTACAAGCTATTTGAAAAAATGGTAGTCTTCATTTAAATAATAAAAAAAACCTAAATTATTTGACGGTAAAAAAAAAAGGGGGGGGGGGGGCGCTGGAGAAATACGCCTTTAAGCAAAAAAAAAAAACTAAAGCAAATGAAAATAGAAAAGCGGAAAACCCGTAAAGCGTACCATAAACTCTATGCTTTTTGGGTACTGTGCATTGTACTGCGCAGAGTCGGAAACGTCATGTCTTTTATGAACCTTTTTTACGGAGAGGAGGATTTTCTTCTTTCTGGGCTGTTGCACGAGAGTACGAAAGCCGACGCCACAGCCTTGCCACAGCCTTGCCAGTGCCTTAGAAGTGTGGCAGCTTGAGCTAGTTGGTATGGCATGACGATAGTTCTAGTGCGAGAACAACACGACGTGTCCTTCTTGTCTCTGTGTCGTCGTTTTGTTCTCCCGCTATAACTATCGTCTTGCTAGTGCATTTTTTGCGGGGTCGCGCGCAGTAACAACAGACCGCAGAGGACTATGGTAGCGTTCAGGGAGCCTTGAGTGAGAAGGTCTATACTTCTAAAGTTTCTAAAGCATGAAAAATTTTTTTTTGCCCAAGCAACAATCTGACAATGGCCCCAAGCCTCTAGATATGTGTAATTTTAATTAAGAAGGCGCTGTCGGCGGCAAGACCAGCCAAGCCAAGACAAGCCAAGGTGAGACAAGTCAAGCTAAGCTGTAGAACTGAGTGGTAGATGTGTCGGGGCCACGTGCGTGCACCATGTCGGGCAAGAGGAGCGGTGCTAGAGGCTTTAAAAGGCCCTTAAGTGTAAGGACCAAAACGATCAAAGTTCGCAAAGGCCAGAGCAGTAGTGTGAACCCGAGTAAACGGAAATTTCGTAACGAAGCGAAGAGCCAAGTGTTCGGAGCGTTCCCTCTCAAAGGTTGGTACACCGGGCGCATGCTTTTTGTATGTATAAAACTTTCTCTTTTGCTGAAGAAAGTGTTGCTTGTCAAGTAACTTCAGAAACGTCTGCTACTTTTGCTATTGTGCAGATTTTTCTGGTGGCTAACATTCTGTGCCGATGGCAACGTAGGACCGTCTGCGCCGATGGCAGCGTAGCTAGCTTTGCAGCTTGCCCACCGTCTTTCGTACTGCGTAAGCTGTACAATTTTTGCACAGCTAGCCAGAAAGAAAAGTATTTGATTTAAAGGCTCACATTTTCCAACCCCGGTATTCAGAAACGCTGTTTGACTTGAACTTGCCACCGATTTCAATGCAGCACAAACGCGTTTCGAACGCTCTGTCTTGCGGGGCCAAGGCAGCACAAACGCACAGACGCGTTTCAAACGCGGTGCATTGAAGGCGGTGTCAAGTCAAGAAGCGTTTCTGAATACGGGGGTAAGTTCACTATTCAATGCTCGGTACTTTCGCACCAACTGCGATGCGGAGAAAACTCGGCACACCGCGTTTTGCGGTGGTGGAGCCGCCGAATAGGTTGTGCACATACAGCACAGGCTGTTCGGATGATGCATTTATCTCTTTGCTGTCGCCTATGCTTGTTGCAGGAATGAATATATTCTTTAGTTTTCTTATTGATGCGTCGCAAGCCCTTCGACATGACTACCGCCAAAGTTATTTGTGGCGATAGCCGTACAAGTCCGCCTTTCTTTGATGCCTTGTCTATCTGTGATTTCGGCTGATCTGTGAAGAGGTCATCTTGTAAAATGACGACCTGCTAACGCCGAGGAATTTGCGGCCAATATAAGAACCACTCGTAAGAATTGATGTGAAAATCGTGTGTGTGTGAAGTTGTGACCACCAGTGTGTACGTCCTAGTGTTAACGAATATCAAGTTGCAAAGAGCCAGATGCTTGGTGTACGTAATTGCTGCACTCTATCGCCTGGCTGGTTCGCAGTATGACATGTTGCCAGTCTTTCAGTTTGTAGCCCACAGTGCCTCATGAAAAATTCATTATTCTCGAGAAAAGAAATCTCAACATCACTGTGTCGTTCCCCTAGCTTAAATTTGGTGCACGTAACGTTGGCAGACTGCAATTTTGGTGGATGTTCCCAACTGTAGTTGTAAAGTGTGATGGCATGTTCTTACTGTCGCATTTTTTACATAAGTGTTCTAACTGTTAGGAGTGGCATTTGTTCAAAATCTAGATTATTAGGAGTGGCATTTGTTCAAAATCTAGATAAAAAAATTTGGCAGATCCCACGTACCTGGGAATCGACGTTATGCAAAGCATGCGGAGGGAACGTGATTGTTGCAATTTTTTATTTAGCAACACGTCATGAAATGACATTAAATGTATGTACAAATGTATGAAACTTTCTCTTTTGCTGAAGAAAGGGTCGCTTGTCAAGTAACTTAGAAACGTCCAATACTTTTGCTATTTTATAGATTTTTTCTGCTAGCTGACATTCTGTAAGACTATCTGCGCCGATGGCAGCGTAGCTAGCCTTGCAGCTTGCCCACCGTCTTTCATACTGCGTAAGCTGTGCGATTTTCGCACAGCTAGCCAGAAAGAGAAGTATTTGATCTAAAGGCTCACCACCGTATTCAGAAATGCTTCTTGACTTGAACTTGACTTGAAACCCCCTTTCACGTGTTGTAAATACATTAGTCCCGTATTCAGAAACGCTTCTTCGTTTGAACTTGACTTGAAGCCGCCTTTCACATGTTGGAAATACATTAGTGCTGCGGGCAAGAAAAAGATAAACTGGAACAAAAGGCTGCCATACAAATGGACTAATTGCATGCTAACTAATATGCGGATGCCTGCCTTCATTTAAATAATAAAGAACTAAACCTAAATAGTTCGACTGTCAAAAAATAAAAAAGGCCGGGACAATATGCCTTTAGCATAGCTTTGTGAGTGTATGTGTGAGTGAATCTTAAAAGCTATATCCACTCAACGCCTCCTTTATTTTTCCACTTATAACATGGCAAAGATTTCACCTCTTGCAATACCCGACGTGATCCTCACTTGAACCCGGAAATTTTTATTATCTTGTCCGTCGTGCATACTTCAACCACCTATTGCATACTTATTGTTTGCACTTGCACAACAATGCCAGTTTATTTAAACTTCAGTGCATGGCAACTAACCACAATTGACGTTAACCTGACAAGATGGCTGCATCGAATGAGCACATAGTAATGTTTATAAAATTGGGTAGGCAGGACTGCAATCACTATTGACGTTTCACGAAGATAAGCGTCCATTTGAAATCACTATTGACGTTTCACGAAGATAAGCGTCCATTTGAAAAGTAGTTCCGAGACCTGGCATAGCTCTGTGCTAAAATGCTTCATTGCCTTGCAGAATGCTTGGGTTCGATTCCAGCTAGGTAGATACTAAGTGTCATCACCTGTGGCACATACCTGCATACCACCGGCACATACCCGCCCGTGGGTATGTGCCGTCTGGCGGGAAGTGTTTGATGACGTACGTGACGGGATTGTGACATTATTCATGTTTTGACCAGCGAGTCATATTCGTCATATCACCTTACCCTCCCATGCTAATTTTGGTTCACGCCAAGTGAAGAGGGTGACTAGGAGAGCACCTAAATATAAGCGGATAGATAAATAGATCGATAGATAGATAAATATATAGATAGAGATAGTTAGATAGAGATAAATAGATAGATAGATACGCTCAAAGTCGCTGAAGTTTGCTAAGAAATGCTTCCCATATAAAATTACATTGGGTGTTGGTGGGACAGCCAGTCAGTGTGGTTGCCTTCATTACACTGCACAACTATGCAATGTGCCATGGGCAAGAGCAGCAACACATTAGGTAGTTTGTACTTGACATTGTGGACACAAAACATGGCATCAACACGGCGACGTGGATGATGACAGAGCAGTATACGGCCTGATAATCACGTTGCTGATTTGTTGTGGGGTCTCTATGCATGAACAACGAAGGAACCATCATGCAGTGCCCTTATAACACTAATGCGTCATGAAGAAATTCGCATCCTGTCATGTCGGTGTGGTGCACCAATGTGGCAGTCTCATTTCGAGGGAAGCAACTTATCTTGTCCCTCGTGCATACTTCAACCACCTATTGCATACTTATTCCAACCAGTTGTTTGCACTTGCGCAATGATGCCAACTGGAGCCTGTGTGCAGTGTGATGTCAGTGCCCGATAAAGAACACCAGGTGGTAGAAATTTTTAGAGCCATCCACTATGATGTCTTCAATAAACATATCGTGGTTTTGGGATGGTGAAGGAACACTGACAAATTGTGGTCTCGCATTTTTTTTTATTGCGGCAATGTGTTGCTGGAGGCCTATTAGTTGTAACATGGCACATCGTTTGCCGCAGCATGCAACAAGCTTCAGAGTGCAACTACCACTACCTAGCGTGTGCTACTTTGAATCACCTCAGCACACATAACTCTTGCACGGTCTGTATCAAGGAGTTTTTTTTAACAGGACACTCGACAGCAGTGTCGCCAAACACAAAACATTTAACACAAGTACCGTGGCCGCGGACTCGTGAGCAGCTGACGAGTAATAGTCGACTGGAAGTTATCTTAACAGAAGCTAGTAAGTGGCATTGTGGCTGAGGTTTCTGAAGGGTAATGTCTGAAATGGCATAAGTGTTCATAAATAAAGGGAATAGCAAACTTGTTTTTCAGGCCTTCTTTTAATTGGATGTTTTTTTCCGCCAATATTTTCAGCCAAAATAAATATATTGGATCATGAAATGACCAGAACACTGTACTCAACATATCACTTGAACTAAAAGAGTTGCTGTGAAAAGAGTGCTGTGCAGTATGCATCTTATCTTTGTGCTCATTCCTGTGGTTACCTCGCTCTGAGTGTGTTGTCATCCTATGTTGTATTATTTTTTTCTGCATGTCCTAGACCAAGGCGGTGGTAGACTGACAGCGGAGAATCTTCAGCAGCACAATGGTTGTGCCTACGAAAGCGATGCAGGGGACAAGCTTGGCATTGCTGAGACTGAAAGCAATTACTCTGCTGAGTCTGACTGTAGTCTTGGCTCTGTTATGACAAAGAACAGGCAAGTGGAGCAGGTTTTTTTATTCCTATACACAATTTCGTCAATGCTGCATTGATGCCTGCTAGTGCTGTGTTATGTCTCAATTGAGAAAATAACACCTAAAAGCCATTTAGAAATACTTTTTATGATGCCAGTATGTCTACGAGTTGTGAATATGTTTCATAAAATGTAACTGGTATTAGCTTTTTCTTGCTAATTAGACATCCTTGTCACTATAACAAATTATTCTGCTCTCTCTGGTACCACTGTCTTTGTATGCCTCCAGAATTCTAGCTTGGGTTGGTATTCATAAATTTTGTTACCAAATACATTTATTGGCTGGCATTTGAGCATTCTCTATTGCTTGCAGATAGATGCCTTGTTAAAGGGACATTGAAGCATTTACCTATGAATTGATTGTATGGTGCCATTTAAAAAATTTTTACACAGTGGGCTTTAGAAGCTGGTTAAAAATGAGCTTAAAGTAGAGAAAATGGCTACTTGTGCAAAAATAAGTACCAGGTGCATAAAGTACTTGTGCGAATTTTGTTGCTGTCTGTACTTGGGAGAAGCTTCATGACATTGTCTTGAGGGTCTTCAAAGTAGCTGACTGCTTCACAAGTGGTGTCACCATTGCATGTATTTGTGTGTTTCTTGTTAGACATGTGCAAATAGTTTTTTTTTTTTTTGGCTGACTCAGTTCTGATGAGTTGTTCGTACAGCTTTGCATGTTTGAGCTACGGTCTTCCTTGGAACAGTCAGTCAATTTCATTCATGCAGTGCAAATAAGAGCTTTTGATTAATACAATTGTGGTGCGCTGATTGTCACCGATTCGATCTTGGACCAATCGAACTTGCAGCGCTGTATGTTCTGGCATGGGTCATGTGATATTACTGAAACATACAGTAGTGCGTCTGAAAAAGTGAGCAACGTACAGGTGCGACCCAGATTCAGCGCTTTGCATGTACACTTGGAAGACTTAGTATTCACATCAATAAATACAAAATAAACAACTTTGTATGATGCTCATTTATTTAGCAACAACATAGTGGTAAAGCTTCTCTTAGCGAGTAAACTTTTGAGAACAGAGCATTGTCATTATGGCTGTGCTGGCAGCCACGGATGCAGACGCTGGGGCCAGTGCTGTTTGTTGAGCTTGTTGGGGAGTGCTTAAAATCTATAGGATTAATATTTTCACTTTATGCTCTGCATGATGTGCAAATAGTCTTTTCAACAACTTCGATGTTGGGTCTCCAGTGTATAGAAATAAAGAGTGTAGCTTTGCTGAAACAGGTGGTTTAAATGCTACTTTACAGCACTGGCCCGCGTTATACATCACCTCATTCAATCGAAACGATCTTGATTGTGTAAAAATCAAAATAATGGTACTTCCTGCGGTGCTGCCAGCAAATTCATCAGACAAGGGAAGGCTGAACTCATAGTCGTGATCTCTCACTTTTCCAGCACATTTGCTTTTGTAGGTTTGAAGTTTTTTGTTAGCCAGTAGCCATATTCTGAACTTTTGACGAAATTTCATTTTACCAATTTTGTGAACCATGGGCAAAATGTGCAAAACATTGGCATGGCAAAACCTAGTGAAGGCCGTATGAAGAGTACATCCAGTGCAGGGCTAAGTTGTCACTTTAAACTTCATTATTGTTGCTTTGCTAAGCAGCAAAAATGGACACCCACTGGGGTACCTGTCTCACTCGCTCCTTACAATGCCGCTTTTGTAGAAGTTTCTCTCTGCGGCCCTCTTGCCCTATACATGTGTGCAACTGGCTCTTTCGTTAACCTAAGTTTCTCTGCTTGTAGTGGCACTGTTTTATTATACATTAGGGAAAAGTAAAAAACTTAACAGGTCATTAATTCCAAACTTAATTAATCTTGAGAATTAGTAATCCCTTTAGTGTCTGTTTAGTCCAGTGGTTGTCACAGGAGGGGCCGGAAGTACTTGGATAGAAAATGTTTTGAGACAGTTGATTACAACGTTGTATCATAGGCTTACTTGTTACTAAATGTGTGACAGTTATTATGTTGATACTTGCAGTTGGAATGAAACATATAGCAAAATGTTCCTTACATGAGGTTGTAGAAACGGCAAAGATCGTAACTGCTAGACGTGCAATCCTATTTCTTCATTTTTAGGCTAATTTTTTTTTTGGTTCTACTTATTTCAGATTACTACAAACGTGGGACCCAACTTCGGAACTGCACAAAGAGATGTTGGCAATGTACAATGCATCAACTGACATCATAAAGTCCAAGGGGGGTCAGCAGACTGACACAGAGTACTTTGCTGTCCTTATGACAACAATAGAAACTGTTGATTCTGATATTTCGAGGACATCAGCTGCTGCTCTTCTATCGATTTTCGCCAAGAGGTGCGTGGATTAATTTGCTGGTTTGGTTAAAGGGGCCCTGCTATGCTTTTGAACATAGTTTCAAAGTTTCTTTACCTGATAATGTCCCGATTATATCGTCGGAAGGGAGAACACAACCATTCTTGTGCTGCATTCTCACAGTAGCAGTCATGTGCCGGCACCGGGCTTAATGGTGCGCTAAAATTAAGCAGTTGCGATGCTACTGTGCTGGTGGTCAACTTGGTTTAGTAAAGAAAGTGCTTATTGTCATAGCTCGCACTGACTCACATTCTTGCCCACTTTTCATTCTCCTGTGTGGTGTAGTGTGTTTGTCATGTTGCAAGGAGGTAAAAAACAGCTTAGGTGTGCAACAAATGCCTGTAAGTCCACGTGCACTTGAAGGATTCACAAAGAAATTTTTCCAGCAATAAACTTTCGAGACAATAAACTTTAAAAAAAAGTGTTAATATGAAGTGTCTAATGCCCCTTTGATTTCCAAGCAATTTTTGAAAATCAACTGAAGTATACGTGCATATGTTTTTTTTATAGAGTGCCTGCTGCTGTTCTCAGGATGAAGTTTTCTTGGATTACAACAATGTGCATAAACTTCATGCAGTTATATTCACAGCCCACACATGTCGTCCTGCTTCGCAATGTACGTACATTCAATGCTGTCATCAGCTTTAAAGGTTGCAATAATTAACGCTGTGTTCATACTAGTGCTTTCACATGAAGTTTTCTTATTACTTTTCTGTGTTGAAACATTAACAGCTTGATTAAACTGTAAGCTAGTAGATAGCATTGTGGCTGAGGTTTCTGAAAGGTTATGTCTGAAATGGTATAAGTGTTCGTAAATAAAGGGAATAGGAAACTTGTTTTTCAGGCCTTCTTTTAATGGGATGTTGAACAAAATTTTTGCTGCCAATATTTTCAGCAAAATATATTGGATCATGAAATCGATAGAGACAACCTTCATTCTGTGAAAAAACGATGGTAAAAAAACGAATTTAATGCGTTTTACACGAACTGCCGCGTCTAGCGGTAGCGCTGTGAACTAGAGAATGCGATGTTTAGAGACTGGGTCAGACTCGCCCGAAACTAGCAAGCCAACAATGCCAGCCATCGCCCACGTATCTTGCTCGTTCATCTTCCCCTTCGGTTCTAAAAACCAGTATGAACAGCAACAGCAGCGAACAATGCTTCGGGCTGGTGCAAAGCAGCAGCGCTTTTGTAGAAGGGAAAGAGTAGGATGAAAGGAGACGTGGAGAAAAGGAAAAGGATGAAAAAACACATGCATCCTGCATGCGTGTCAATGAGTTTGACGTCACGGCTCGCACTCGCGAGCGCCCACCACTTCCAAGTGCTCAAAAATACGGGAAATGAACTTCGTTTATTGGAAGAGTGGCATGTTCCGAGTTGAATTTCACATTTTTGTCAGTTTTTCCAATATTTTGTTCAGTATTCCTTTAATACATGTGCTACTCCAAATCAGCATTATTGTTCAGGCTTAGGAGTGGAGCAGTGGAGAAGGGTTTTGCGAGTACTACGTATGTTCATGTAAGTTATTCTATGTAAAACATATTTTTCGTGGAACACAGCATAAGTTTGCTTTATTTTGTTTGCAAAAATATTATATTTTTCTTACACATTGATAATTGTAAAATATCTTTTACATTTTGTTTTATTATATTTATGTTAATCTTTTCATGTTCAGCTGCTGGGCTTGCTCACTTCCTGCTTGAAGTCATTGGACCTGGCCACATGGAGTCAGTCATCTACTCTGCAAGTTTTCAGCTTCATGTTTCCATACATCATTCATATCAGGCCTAAGGTAAGAATAAAAGAAAAACTGCCGCTTGTAAATTCAGTGTTCAACAACCAAACTTGCCCACATTGTATGTAGTCATGATTACAACTGTAATACCAGATGGGATATGCCAACAGACATCAGTGAAAATAACAAAGCTGCCTATTTTGCTTACATGCTTGAAAATTTTGGACACATGCATGCGACTGCCACTAGCCTTATAGAACCATTACGGAAAGCCAGTAATGTGGCATAGCTATCAATATTCATTATATGCATTGGCTCCTTTCAGGGAAAGAAAAGGAAAGGTGTGTAAAAAAAAAAAAAAGACTGTACGACATTCAGGACCACTTATCTGTTCGTGCCGGCTGTGCTTGAAGCAGCAAACCAATTCTATATTGTCAGATGCATATGCTTACAGCGAAGTCGGGGGGGGGGGGGGGGGTAATATTATTGTCGCAATGGGAGGCGAGAGGCAGAAAACTAATTAGAAAGAGGTGTTTGCGTCTTATAGTGATGGCAATGCTGACAGATTGCCTGGTTGTTCATTTATTCTATTTTTTATTGTGTTTAATTCGTAGATACAGATACGTGGGCCGGGCAGACAGGCTGTTCAGAATCAGATTCTACAACCATCGGGCACATGTACGTTTCCTGCCAGGCCTTCCACCTTAAAAACACAGCACATTGAGAGATCACAGCTTTGATGACATTAGGGTTGCGCTATGGAAAAACAATTTTCGAACAATCGGAAAACGGGGACAACGATCACAGCTTTGATGACATTAGGGTGGCGCTATGGAAAAACAATTTTCGAACAATCGGAGAACGGGAACAACGGGAATCTTACTTTATCTACAAATTCAACACGATAAAGGGAATAAACGAACACCCAGGCACCCTGTCAGCGTTACGATCACTAAAAGACTCCTCTCTCCAATCAGTCCTCTGCCCCTAGCCTCCCATTGTGACAGTAATATTACACCCCCGACACAGCTGTAAGCATACACACCTGACAAAAATTAAGGAGAGCCCCTAAAGCAACGCCTTAACGGGGCCCGGCGACACTATTTGAGCATGTATTTTTCATTGGTTCTTTGGGGCTGCGAAACGCGCCAATATCGTTGCGCACATGGCAACACCGAAGTTGACGCTGTTATGATTTTCATTCTTGACACAAACTGCCTTGATTTCAGACTACGGCAACGCGCATTGGCTATTTTTGTTATGTGAAGTGACATGCCTTGTGACGTGACGACAAACATAGGTCGCTCTTGATTGGCTTGATGCGAGAAATAGCGTGCAATATTCATATGGTGGTAGCTAGGCCATACGAGTGAATGCTAAAAATCAACAAAAGCCTTTTTTATAGCTTCTTGGAAATCATTCCTGTTTTCTAAATGATTTATTTTCAGAACAGTGAACACAACACTTAGCCTGCGAACAAGGCTACGGTACGGCAGCAACTAAAACAACTAAAAGTGGAAATGCATGCCGCGTTTTTAGCGAGCCAAAAATGCGACAGGTGTAGGGCGCCGGCGTTGCCGTAGAACGTGTTTTGCATGTGAGCTGAGGAGTGACCCCGCCCAATTTGTATCTGTTATCTTACATAGTGTGATTGTGGGAGCGCCTGCTTCTCGACGCACGTGGTTCGTAGTTAACCATGCTAACAACACCGTAAAAAAGAGCGGTAGTGAGTTATGTGAAGGCAACCATGAGGTGACATTTCCAGAATGTCTTTGCGACGCGCGCTGTGATTCTTTGGCGTCAGCAGGCGAGTGAAATGCGAAAGAGAACGTTTCTCGTCGTCTGCTCGAGTTTTGAACTTTGAGGACTCTTACAGCGTCTCTTTCTGTGCACCAATTTTCATAATTTTTTGTTGCATTCGTCTCTGTAATCGTCGCTACATAAGGCTGCCCCAAAAGTGTCGCAGGGCCCCTTTAAAGAGCTGGGCGCGATAGCGACATCCTGTTCCTAGTGCCTACTTCAAACAGTGAGTGAATTAAACCTTTTCCAATTTGCCATGCACCCGCTATGTGTCCTTTAGGCAATAGGCGCAGTAGCGTGTGTTTCTTTAGTTGGCACCGGCTTTCAACCATGGAGCCATTATGATAATCACATATTCTGACCATCGTACCCAACTCGCAACCTAACCTCGCTGATGCCAGAATTTCTGCGAAGTGATCTCTTTAACGCTATCGCGTTGATATAGAATTGGTTTTCCGCTTCAAGCACAGCCGGCACGCACAGGTAAGTGGTCCTGGATGTCGTAGTCTTTTTTTTTTAACGCATTTTTTCTTCTTCTCTTAAAGGGGCCAATGCATATAATGAATATATATGGCGGTGCAACATTACTGGCTTTTTCATATCTTCCGGCGCCGCCGACATGCACTCTAAGCCCTTAAGGTTTCTCCTTATCAATTCGCTGTAAACTTCAAAAGTGGACAAGCCGCCAGCCGAATACACTGTGCATGTTCGCCTTACTCTCTTGAAGTGCCGGCCCTTCCTAATCCCGTTGTGTTTTTCTTCGTTTTTTTCCTCCTTTTCTTTTTCCCCCCTTTTCTTCTTCGTTTATCTTTCCCTTCTGCCCCCCTTCTGTCCTGTGTCAGCTTGCTTTAAGAAGACGCGGAAAATCTGTAAATATTCCTGTGCCTTGAAAAAGATGGGGCTCTATTTTCAGACTTGTGCTTTGCGGCAACTGAAGTTATTCTTGGTGTGCATTGCAGCTATTCAGATGCTGGCAGGATAAAATAAGGAGTGTAAGGTTCCTAAATTTACTCTTAAATTTAAATCAGTGAACCCGTCAGGGCTTCGAAACCCTGCACGCAGGTGAGTATGTGCACCAGAAAACCTGCCAACTACTGTTTTAGGTTGGGAATAGTGGTCCAGCGTTGTGTTTAGTCAGTGATATGGCAATGCACCAGACGTGTGCATTTCTTTATATGAACAAAAATTCATCAGGCATTTGAAAACGCCTGGAATTGCGGCACAACAGATTGTAGCAAATTTTCTTATGGCAATGTGTACTTTTGTTGGTGACAAAGTTGTGAATATTGTTGCCATTGCACAGCATGAGTAGGACAGGCTGAAATGACTCGGAGCAAGCAGAAGGTACATTTTTGGTTGTGAGAAGCACTTACAATAATGTTTATGGGGTGGGAATTGCTTTTTCTCAATTTGTAAAAAATTTTGTCATGGAATTTATCGGTTGAGAGATAATATTGGGCTCATCTTCTCCACTGTCTGCCCATTAACTAAATTCATTCACTGTGTTTGCTCAGAGCTGCTTCAGTGCTAAGGTGTTACATACCCTGGAGTATGAAGTTTAGTAGGTTAACTTTAACTTGCATTATAACAGACAAATAAAGTCCTATCTCTTTTTGTCAGGTGAGCCTCGTGTCTTATTTACTTTCCTTGTTCAGTGGACTTCTAATTTGGGATGGCTTCATGGCACGCATGTGTGTGTGTGTGTAGCTTTATAAATGTAATGATGATTTATTTTTCATTTTCAGATTTTTTATCGAGACGAATACAAGAAGGTGACATGTGTTTAGTATACAAAAGGATGTCCCAAAGTCAAAGACTGTATCGGGACCTCCTGTTAAGGGCAAATTGTGGTAAAACAGTGTTAGGGGCTACGTAAGCAATAACCAAAATTATAAACTAAGCATAATTGCAGCAGAGCAGTGAAATATATATATATATATATATATATATATATATATATATATATATAAAAAAGGGAAAGAAGTGTATACCTAAGGGCTCGTTTTTCCGTGTTTTAACACAATATTAACGAGATCTAACAGACAGTAATGCCAAGGAATGTACAGGGGAAGTTATTAGAACCAATGGAATGTAAATAAGAAGAAAGAAAAGTGGATGAAGAAATAACCAGCTGTGAGCAGGAAACGAACCTACGACCTTCGAATAACTCTAACCACTGAGCTACCGCAGCGGCCTTTCCTCGATCCACTTTTTTGGGTTTATATGTGAATTTAGAAGTAGGAGTGACAGTCAGCGCCATCTATAAGCCAAACGACGAGTGTGAAAACACTCTTATGCGCATGTTTGGCGTCACGTAGCACGTGAACTTATTATGAGCGGGCAGCTGATTAATTGTCCCTCTTATACAACCTAAACACACCAAGTCTGCCATTACGAGACCCTCGTTCAATGAAATAAGGGAAAGAAGTGTATACCTAAGGGCTCGTTTTTCCGTGTTTTAACACAATAATAATGAGATCTAACAGACAGTAATGCCAAGGAATGTACAGGGGAAGTTATTAGAACCAATGGAATGTAAATAAGAAGAAAGAAAAGTGGACGAAAAAATAACCAGCCACTTTTCTTTCTTCTTATTTACATTCCATTGGTTCTAATAACTTCCCCTGTACATTCCTTGGCATTACTGGCTGTTAGATCTCATATATATATATATATATATATATATATATATATATATATATATATATATATATATAATGAGATCTAACAGACAATAATGCCAAGGAAAGTCCTGTCACGGCAAGTTATCTTTTCACCCACATTTCTTCATATTTACATTACAGTTTGGTCTAATATCTTCCCCTATACTTTCCTTGGCATTATTGTCTGTTAGATCTCATTAATATTGTGTAAAAACACGAAAAAACGAGCGCTTAGGTATGCACTTTGTTCCTTATATATATATATATATATATAATCATCAGTCCACTGCAGGACAAAGGCCTCTCCCTTGTTCCGTCAGTTAACCCGGTCCTGTGCTTGCTGCTGCCAATTCATACCCGCAAACTTCTTAATCTCATCTGCCCACCTAACCTTCTGTCTCCCCCTAACCCGCTTGCCTTCTCTTGGAATCCAGTTAGTTACCCTTAATGACCAGCGGTTATCCTGTCTACGCACTACATGCCCGGCCCATGTCCATTTCTTCTTCTTGATTTCAGCTATGATATCCTTAACCCCTGTTTGTTCCCTAATCCACTCTGCTCTCTTCTTGTCTCTTAAGGTTACACATACCATTTTTCTTTCCATTGCTCGCTGCGTCGTCCTCAATTTAAGCTGAACCCTCTTTGTAAGTCTCCAGGTTTCTGCTCCGTAGCTAAGTACCGGCAAGATACACCTGTTATATACCTTCCTCTTGAGGGATAGTGGCAATCTACCTGTCATAATTTGAAAGTGCTTGCCAAATGTGCTCCACCCCATTCTTATTCTTCTAGTTACTTCAATATCGTGGTTCGGCTCCGCGGTTATTACCTGCCCTAAGTAGACATAGTCTTTTGCAACTTGAAGTGCACTATTACCTATCTCGAAGCGCTGCTCCTTTCCGTCGTTGTTGTACATTACTTTTGTTTTCTGCAGATTAATTTTAAGACCCACCTTTCTGCTCTCCTTGTCTAACTCCGTAATCATGAGTTGCAATTCGTCCCCTGAGTTACTCAGCAATGCAATGTCATCGGCAAAGCGCAGGTTACTAAGGTACTCTTCATTAACTCTTATCCCTAACTCTTCCCATTCTAGGCTTCTGAAAACCTCCTGTAAGCACGCGGTAAATAGCATAGGAGAGATTGTGTCCCCCTGCCTTACACCCTTATTGATTGGTATTCTGTTGCTTTCTTTATGAAGCACTATGGTAGCAGTTGATCCCCTGTAGATTTCTTCCAGAATGTTTTATATGATCATGATGAGACAAACGCAAAAATACACACACCCAGAGAGGACACAGACAAGCGCTTACTGAAACTGAAAAAAAAAAAATTCAGTTGCTAGTAAGCGCTTGTCTGTGTCCTCTCTGAGTGTGTGTATTTTTGCGCTTGTCTCATCATGAACCTTTGCCAACACGCCCAATTGGCAGTCATCCTAAATGTTTATATATACTTCATCGACGCCCTGATTCCGCAGCGTCTGCATAACGGCTAATATTTCTACTGAATCAAACGCTTTCTCGTAATATATATATATATATATATTGAAGCAAGACTGAAAGTTGGGCTAGTTGGTGATACATTATGGGCAGAAATAGCGCACAAACTCACGGGACGAAGAGAAGAGACACAAACAAGCGCTGTTTTCTTCAACTTTTTTTCTTTCAAGGACTCAGCAAGAGGTAGTAACCGCATGCTTTTCTTTTGTTTCTTTTTGACTGTGCATAATGACATCTACACATTCAGACACACACCTTGTCCTCTCATCCTCCGTAACATGCTTAGAAACAGTCCTTTCTAGGGCTACCTTTTCAACGGCGCTGAGCCTCGGTTCCACGCAGAACTTAGGGTCGAGCTTGAGTGTCTCCAGTTGCTGTTCTGGTATCGTTGCGCCGGCAGGGTTCAAGACCTTGCCCGCAGGATTTGTCCGTCCGTTGCATTTAGGTGCTCGTGGTCTGGCTGTCACCCAAAGAAACTCGGTCAAGGAATCACTGGTTCGACACCACTCGCCATATCTTCTTTTCCCCTCTCTTCTTCCACCCTGTAGTACGCAGGTTGTCCTTAGGCAGTTCTAAGCAGTCTTGCCTGGCTCTATAGCTCTGACCTCCAAATTCGGCACATCCGCTTTGTGTGTCCTACCGTTGGTCGTATCCCCACACACATGACCATTAGTTCCTCTGGGCATGTTCCGTGGCGCAAGTGCCACGACAGCACTCTTGCTCGACATTCGCACGTGGCTATTCTTACTGCCAAGAAGGCTGTTTCTTGAAAACATATGTTAACACGAGGAAAAGAAGCTTTTGTAGAAGAAATAAACTGAAGCAAGACTGAAAGTTGGGCTAGTTGGTGATACATTATGGGCAAAAACAGCGCACAAACTCATGGGACGAAGAGAAGAGACACAAACAAGCGCTGTTTTTTTTTTTCAACTTTTTTTCTTTCAAGGACTCGGCAAGAGGTAGTAACCGCATGCTTTTCTTTTGTGTTTCTTTTTGACTGTGCATAATGACATCTGCACATTCGGACACACACCTTGTCCTCTCATCCTCCGTAACATGCTTAGAAACAGTCCTTGCTAGGGCTACCTTTTCAACGGCGCTGAGCCTCGGTTCCACGCAGAACTTCATCAGCGCTTGTTTGTGTCTCTTCTCTTCGTCCCGTGAGTTTGTGTGCTGCTTCTGCCCATAATATATATAAATATATACATATATACGTACTAAAGGAAAACAAATATTAAATAAAACCAAATGAAACAATGACTAATGTGAACAGTATAACTGAAAAAGAATGCAAAAACTTTAGTACATATAATGTGGACATTCAAATAAGGTGGAGCTATGGTAAGAAACAGTAAAACTAAGCATGCATAATGTGTGATTTTAGTTTTTTCTTATAGTGATGCAAGTTTTTTGCATTTTTAATAAAAGCTGGTAGTGTGTTCCAAAATGATATAGATAAAAATTCAGCAGTTAGTTTACCATAATTAGTACGTACCTTAGGCAGAAGGACGTTATTGTTACGTGCAAATCTAGTATTACTATGAGCAACAAGGTCGGAAGATGAGAAGCAGATTGGAGGTAGTGCCTTGGTTATGTATTTATAGAATGTGATACGTAAGTTGTAATTGAGGAGCTCTGCAATGGTCAAGATGTTGTTATCATGAAGTAGGCATTTACCGTTAGAAAAGCGGGAACTGTTAGTAATGATTCTTATAGCTTGGTTCTGTAGTACTTGAAGGGAAGCCAAATGAGTGTTATACGTGTTACCCCAGCACATTATACCAGAATTAATATGAGAATGAACGAATGGTAGAGTGACAGTAATGTGGCACCTGTGAAGTATGGACGAGTTTTAGTTAGAGCGCAAATGCCGTACGCTATTTTCTTTTTGATGTGAGAAATATGATCCATGTATTTCAAGAGTCAAGAGAAATTCAGAGAAAAGAAGAGCAGGTACTGGGAATAATAGAGTGCGAGCCAAAAGTCAAAAAAGGAAAGGATGCTGAATATTTTTATGCAAGGAAAATACTACAAATTAAGTCTTGGTTGCGTTAATAGTTGACAAGCTAGCACTGCACCAACTTGAAACATTTTTCAAGTCGGTACTTAGCTTGTCGACGATGAGTGAGATGCTTCTGTCAGAAGTAAATATGGTAGTGTCACCAGCATACAAATACGAATCAGTAAAGGACAGACAGTTAGGAAGATCATTTATATAATTTAAAAACGGGAGTGGTCCTGAAATGGATCCTTGAGAGACACCAATATTAGTAGATAATTCGTTAGAATATACATTAAAAATTGACACAAGTTGAACGCAGTTAGGGGGGTAGCTTTTTAGTAACGCTAAAGCAGGACCACATACACCGATCGCTTCAAGTTTAGTAAAGAGAATGTGATTTAAACTGTTGAATGCATTTGTTAGATCGATGAATATTGATCCTACAAATAAACCTTCATCAATTAATTTTTTTAGTTGATTGGTTAGATGATTGAGTGCCAGATCAGTAGAGAAATGGTTCCGAAAGCCGAACTGACAAGGGGACAGAATATTGAATTTATCAAGGTAATTAGATAGGCATACTCCAATCAAGCTTTTTAGGGTGCACAGTTTGATGATTTTGTGTTAAAATTGCGAGATAAAATGAATTTGATTCAACCTTTCACGGGTATCTGCTTGCTATGATAAGGATTGTTTGAGGCAAACTTAATTTTTGCAACCTTGTATGATGGCAAAGCTTTAAAGAGTTTTATCTATTTTTGTAACCAGCTTCGAAAGCTTGCTCAGAAGCTGATCTGCAGCATCCTGATGAGCAGCAGCATCATGTTGGCACCTGATGCACCACCAACACATCCTGTAGTACCTGCCCTCAGTTCCTTCTGCCTTCCAATCATAAAGTCATCGGCAGGTGAGGTTAATTTGTGAAGCCAGAGTTTGTTAACTTGTTTTGTTCTTAATCTACAGGTGGCTTGCACCACCTGTTTGTGGTCCTTGTTTGAATGTTTTGTTTCGGACATTTTTTTTTGTTCCTGTTTCATGTTTGTTTTTCCTGCCACTGTTTATCATAACAATTCATATTCCTGTGGAGTTTTTTTCATTTTGCATGCAAATTAAAAGGGTTCAGTTTCCAGTATTAGGAATTAATTTTTTGTACACTAACAGATATTGCATTCATGCAATTTAAGTGCCGATTGCACCATACTGTGCCAAGAAGCGAGACCTCCACATCGTGCTATCTTTCGGCAAATACATAATCCATGCAGAGCACATCAAACCATCGTTCTTGCAGTATTTCTGAGAAGGTGGCAGTTTCCGAAATTGCATACTAAAGTTGTCGTAACTTTGAGTAGTCTTATATGGGACACACCCTTGCTAGCCCATGTATATTGCGAGATTACAGTGCAACGAAAGCTCAGTATCACCAATGTGCAGTAAAAGCTGGTAAATTTGGATTGCGTGGGACCAGAAGAGCAATCTAAAGTAACTGAATACCAAATTATCGAAAGCATTGAGAAAACACTTAATGCCTGTTTCACCAATGCACATTCATTTTCTTGAAGAATACATGAAATCAGTCATTATTTTGAATATGAGCAGCGCAAAAGCCGGATTTTACTTTGTTCTCAATGTGCACGCAGTTCAAGACTTCGTTCAATGTGGTTGTGGGTGGCAACCATGTTTTTCTGAAAACACTTGACCGTTTTGCATACTTGCCAAATCTCCCGAATTGACCGTTTTTTCTGGTTGTAGGATTGTCACGAAAATCTCCCGGAAATCGAAATTTCTGTGCCTGATCTGGCTGCATTGACAAAAAAAGCAGCTAAATCCGCTTTAGGTTTTTCCAACTTACCCCATTTTATTATAAATGAGTTTAAGAGGCGTTCGTGTAAACTGACGGTATAATCTCAGTGATGCGAAACAGCGGCAGATACGAATTCTCAAATTCCCCAGCCAAATTTTACTACATTCATTGGGCCTCAATGAGAATGTTCCGAACATCGGCTGCTGACCCGCAGGTCGCGGGTTCGAATCCCGGCTGTGGCGGCTGCATTTCCGATGGAGGCGGAAATGTTGTAGGCCCGTGTACTCAGATTTGGGTGCACGTTAAAGAACCCCAGGTGGTCAAAATTTCCGGAGCCCTCCACTACGGCGTCTATCATAATCATATAGTGGTTTTGGGACGTTAAACCCCACAAATCAATCAATCAGAATGTTCCGAACACATTTCCTAATCGCGGCGGGTGGTACGAACTTTAGTACAGAAACCGTGTTGAATGAAGGCCGAGAGCAGTGTACTCGAAGCTTCGAAAGTACGCGTGCGACCGCCGCACTACAGTGCATGTGATCGTCGTTGCCACAACTGCTGGGGACGAAACCGCGGTCGCTCTTGACACGATCAAGTATGGCGACGACGTAACTGAGAGAACCCCGAAAGTGTGCGCTCAACCAGTCAAAGCAACACTGCTTTCCGCAAACTCTGCAGACAAACCTGCAGCAGATGCTATCGTAGATAGCATAAAACGACTTAGTTTTGATGGCGTGTGCGCAGCCAAGCGCATGGGGATTGTAAAATGAACTACCGTTTGCCGCAACCGCCGTGCTCAAAACCACGGTCGTGGCGACGCGAGAGCGATCTACGAGCTCCGAGGTCACGCAGTGGTAGGTTAAAGGCAGTAAGTACGTAAAAAATTGAAAAAAGTTGTAGTCTTGCCACAAAGGCGAAACAATAAATGCGACAGGAACAACTTCGAATGTAACGCTGAGAACGGCAAGCAGATAGAAACGTGCAGCGCGCTGCTCACATACAAATGACGCACGAAAACGATACTCGCAGGACGAGAGCGAACTAACAGCGTGGAACGCTCGACACGTAACGCACTTTTTAAACAAAAACAATGCTGGATACGTAATCAAAGGTACAGATGAGTACAAACTAACAAGTGTCTCAGTTGTTTTACCTCGCTGTGTATGAAAAGCCCGCTGTTTTTGCAAAAGGGGCCTGTGGAGAGACCGAAGTGACCTTTGTGGGCCCGGCTACTAACTCTTTCATTTCAGTGAAAGCCGAAGGCCACACGATTCCCCCACCAAAAGATAAGCGCACAGGCATCCATCCATGGGGCAAAGTACACGTGAGAGATAAGCATGCGTCGGCGCATTGCGACAAGCTTGGCGCCGAGCGCGGGCGGCTTTTTTCTTTGAGTGTTCATATATATAGATACGTGTACATACGCGGTGAAGGACGGCAGCGATGGTGATGGCAAAAAACAGCCTGGACTGTCCATATAATTTGCAATCGCAATAAAAAGGGGCCAGACGCGTTTTGGCGTTCCTGTCAAAGAAATCTAGCAGTGAGCAAAGCGTTTACCCGTGCTTTTGCGGCAGCCAGCTGCGCCGTTCCGTCAGTTCATGTGTGTCCTGGGAAGACACACGCGAGTTGTTTTGACTGAAATAAATTCTGCTAGTTGTGTTGATCTTTTGAGACTCTCACCTTAGTGAAAAGCTCTACCCTCGTGTGTTTGGCCGCTCCTATCCGCTATAAGACCGCAATGCTGATGTTGGCGCTTGCGATTTTGAGACCTCCCTCCCACCCCCTTTTTGTTTTGCACGATGTTTTTTGTTTGTTTGCTTGTTTGTTCTTGTTTTTTAATGACCCCCCCCCCCCTTGTTGCGGAAATCTCCCGTATTCAAAATCCTTGAACTTGGCAGGTATGGTTTTGGCTGTACGCGAACTCAGTTTTTGCTACTTTGCAACGCTATTTGTGGCGCTTCGTGCTTGGCATACTGAATTAACCCGATTGTGGCCAGATACAACCGAATGAACAAGAGATTGATGCCATTTAACAATGTATACGCTGGCGGGGATCAGGGAACACGTCCTGATGTCTGATTTTCCAAGGTAATAATTATTGCATTAACGAGCTTTTACTGTATCGAGTTCAGAGTTAAAATTGTGCAATATTGGAGAGTTATAGAAAATTGAGTTCAATTACAAGTTTTTGCAAGGTGGTCGTTTATGGTGATTGCTATAATAACAGTGACTATTCTGTGCATACTTAAACGATATCTTGTTATATGTTGGTTTCACAAATATTCAAGTACATGTTCTGGTTGAACTCTTGGATAGTTTGAGAATTGCATTTGAACTTAAGTTTAAAATTTGTCAACTCCACCTACTGCAGTGGCCTGTGGAATTTTTTTTGAAAAGGCTGTGCTGCATCTCAGTTCTGCTTAACTGCATTAAAACTGGACTTCCGACTCAACAATAGGTCGTACTCTCTGCGTTTCTTCTCCGGGGCCATTCTCACAAGAATTGACATTTCCATTATTGTTGTTGTGCAAGTTTGAAAACTTTCCAACTTCACTGGCTCACCTTAAAGGCTGTCCTTTTCGGATCACAGTCTCACTATCCTTGCACATTGGCACTGTGATTTCTCTATCTACAATGTCACGCAGCACATCATGCCCACAGTGCCTGTAAATGACAAGGATTGTCACATGGTGATCACTGCACTCTATTTTTCTGAATCGTGGACTTCTCTCTTACTTTCAGTCAGGTTAGGCTGCTGCTCTGACATCTCCAAATGTGCGGAAAAAAAAACCTTCATTGTGGTTGTGACAACAAACACACTCCCCACCTTGGCATAAGTGATATTGGGCAGTTCAATGAAGGTACAACTCACCAATATGTTGATACTTTATTCGTTATGCCTCATTGGGAACTATCAGAACAGGTATATTTTCTGCCACAACATTGTCTATGCCCACCCTAGCCTTGTAGTGACCGACCCTTTTCATTACTGTGTATAATGAAGTCGCCCCGCCGCGGTGGTCTAGTGGCTAAGGTACTCGGCTGCTGACCCGCAGGGCGCGGGTTCGAATCCCGGCTGCGGCGGCTGCATTTCCGATGGAGGCGGAAATGTTGTAGGCCCGTGTGCTCAGATTTGGGTGCACGTTAAAGAACCCCAGGTGGTCTAAATTTCCGGAGCCCTCCACTACGGCGTCTCTCATAATCATATAGTGGTTTTGGGACGTTAAACCCCACATATCAATCAATCAATCAATCAATAATTAAGTCGGTTCCTGAACCATCTCAATGCTGCATCGTGCTGCTAGTGATGCACGCAACAATCAAGCAGAACTGCCTGTGTGAATAAAGTCTATGAAAGTGAAGTTATAGTTAATTATTACTTCCTTGAACAACAGATGACTGGTCTCTCTGCAAGGAAGTGCTTCTACGTTGGCGTTAGACTTGTTACATGAAAACGCCTTGCAGTTGCTTGACAAAGCCGACACTTGAGCGGCTGCTTATGCACTAGACAGTCACTTGCTCTGTGGTCATGGGCGTTGCAGTTACAGCACTTGTGCTCAACATGTCGGTTGACATGCGGCAATCTCAGACATCGATCTATTTCGCGGTTCACGTTGGTGGTCACTTTTGTCATTGAAGCGGGTATACTGCGCTTTGAACACGATGGTGCGACAAAGCTTCAGTAGCATAACCCTAAAAGTTCACACCATTCACGTTCGATTCACACCATTCACGACTTCAGGAAGTCGTGCAGTAAGTAGGTGGTCTAAATTTGCTTCGTGGCAAAGACTCGCCTTGGAATGGCAATAGGCTGTTGTGCTCTTGTTTCACTGCTGCATGCGCTCTTGCATCCTGCACCATTATTCCGCAATGAGTCTGGCTCACAAAGGTCCGACAGAAATGTTTCTCAAACTCTTTGCATGACGGCACTTAGGAGCTCCTCGAATGGTACTATTCCTTAGCAGCTCTAACCAATTGGGTTTGGCAGTTTACAGGGTCAAATCAAATCAGTCGTCTTCTTGATTTTTTCAACATTATTTTACACACCAAGCAAGGCATTTACTGCGGTATATTAATTGCACAGTAGTACAGGATACAGA